CGTCAGGGTTGGCAATAATAGAGAAAGCTTCCTGGGAGAGATCAATGGTGGATGTGCAAGCAGGAGATGGGCAGCGATCAACAACCTTCACAGTCACACTGTTGCCTGTGCATGCCTGAACTGAGTTTGTTGAGCTTGTGCATCTCACACTGTACATTCTCCCACACGCTGCCCCGTTGTTATATATCCCGTCCCCTGCTGCCGCTATCATCGTCCCTTGCTCCTCGAAACCGAAACATGCAGAAGCTATATTTGGACATACCACGAGTATTAAGCTTATGAGTTTAGGAGTAATTTAGTATGATATTTTCAATCGCAACCCATCGATTYAAMTTTTTGAATCTAGGGATAATGGGAATATATGWTTTAATCAGTCTTTTCAGCATTTTTTTTCCAAATTAAACCAAGTAGTGTGTTTAAAAATTAAAGTTTCAAATCAGTCATTTATGTTTTAATATTTTAAAACTATACTTTTTATAGGTTGGCAAATATGGTTAAGGTATTGACTAATGATAAGCCCTCTATGACATGATATACTCAGTGAGCTGATTAAMCGTAGAACCATTCAAAGAGAGTAAAAGTCTACCAAATTCTTAAAAATTTAGAGGAGGAATTATAAAGTTTCCAATATTATGTGATCTAAATTCCTCCCTCAAATTCTTGTGACTTTGAGAATGCGRTCAAAGTCATGCACTGGCTAAATAATTAAGGAGAAGATTATAGACATATAGATGATGGAACAATTAACTCCATCGATAATGAGATCTTTTGAGTGAAACTAAAAACAAAGTTGTGAGGATTATGCCTACCGCCGACAGTATCATACCATTGTACATATACTTTGAGTATTTGGAGTACCGTTGTATTTAATATTATCAAGCATTATATCACGTAAGTTTATCATCGGTTAATTCTAACATGGATAAAAAAAATTCTAAATATAAGGGACTAAATTGAAACTTTGAAGAAAGTTTGTGTGATATACTCACGAACGTAAGGGGGAGTGTAGAAAGTTGCAGTGCCTGTTTCAGCATGAGCAGAATACGACACAAAGCTTAGCACCAAACTCACCACTACAGTAAACTTCATAATCACTGCTTCCATTATTTGATTTCTTCACTTTGTAAAATTAAAATTCTATTTGGTTATGGAGAGAACCCCAAAATGAGCTCCCTAATTTATAAAATTATGTAACACAAATTAAAGCCTTTGTTATTATTGCATTGCAGTCCTAACACGCTATGTTCTAAAGTAAACAAATTTAAATTTTCTCTCTCTTCCAAATTGGCACGCAACCGGAAAGAGACTGGAGAAGATGTGAGATTTTTTGTTTATTGGAAGCATTCAACGACCGCCAAGTCCGGTCGCCGGTCAGCCCAACTTGTTTGAATCTTCTTGGTGTGGCTTGGAATTTTTTGTTTAAGAGATTTCCATCCCTCATTAACTTCTTATTTTTATTTCACGAGAGAGTTGAAAAAAAAAACTAAKAGTATGTTTGACACGTTATCTTCTTTGTTTCGTGTTAGAAAACGAAACATAAATGTGTTTGGCAATTACTTTTTTTTTTACAACAACATATTCAAATTCAATTGATTGAAAATATATATTTTTACCAATTGAGAACTATATTTAGGTTGAGTAGTAACTTTTTTTCCCCTCAAATATTATATTTTAAAAAAAAATGTTCACCTGAAAATTTGTTTTAAAAACTAAAGCATTGAAAATTTGTTATTATATGTATATATTTTGATAAATCATTAACAAAATGATAAAATAAAGCTTTTATTTGTGTGTTTATCAAATAAGTAAGTAAATAAATAAACCAGTAGGATASTTAGAGAGACCAAAAACGAGAGCCATCCGGTAATGTTCTCTTTTAACTCTTAGAAACATTATCATTTAGTATCCATTCAATCTTATTTTTCATTCCTTATTTCTAAGAAACGTTTCAAAAATTGTGTACAAATTTTAGAAAGAATACAATCAAATTTTGTGTTCATGTTATTTTTATTTTTTTTTAAAACATAGATAAAATATTATTTCATCAATTTTGTCTTACATAATACATAATAAATATCAACAAAATAAATATAACATAAAATCTGGAATAATTTAATTTTCAAATAAAGTTTTTACCTGTTTTATTTGAAATGGTAGAGAAAAGAAAATAATAATAAAAATATCAAATATGTTTCTTTTTCATTTTCCAGTGACGAAAATAAGAAGAAATTATTATATGCAATATTTTTTTTGATTGAAAAAGTGARAACGACCAACAATAACGTTATTGTCTTCGAAAGAAATGAACAAAAATGTTACCTTAAAAGAAGGGAAACAAGTCTTTCGGATTTGGCACTGTAATCTTGAATACGTGTGCAAAATAATTTATAACTTTCGTTGAAATTTCTTCTCACCAATTTAAATGAGTAAGTTTATTTACAATATGGTAGAACTTTCATGTGTCCAATCATCACAAAAATTGCTTCACGGAACGTCCAAAAGATTGAGCGGGATGCGTKTTCTTGACTTCTACAATTTTGACGTCATTTTTAGATTTTTCTTATAGTCATATAATTTTTAAATATCAAACATAGTTATTTAACATATTGGAATTATATATTCTATAATTCTTCTCCCTTGTTTTTCTTAATATAACCTCATATTTAAATTAATTTTTAAGGTATCACTTGGATGGAGATTTAGAAAAATCAATTATACTGAAATATATATTTTTTTTAAATYACTCATTCTTCCATCACTCCCAAACACACATTAATAGAAACACAACTATRTATCTCTTATAGAATAAGACATTTTGGTTGGAAGCAAAAATAAGTCGCGAGAGTTTATTCCAAAACTAGACAATATCACATCATTTGTATAAATATAGAGGTTTTGTTGTCCACAGGTGGTATCAGGCTCATGCCCTAGGTTTAGTTGTGTCACTGGAATCCTCTATGGGTTATAAAAGTTGAAGGACKGACAAAATTGATAAAAACCGATCAAAACGGTTGGTCATTGGCGGAAAATTGACTCAATTGACCTGAAAAAGTTTCCATTTTGCTCAAATGACCTAAAYTATAAAAATTGACTCAACTGACCAAATTTTAACTTTTCTGACATTTCAGAGAGTCTGTAATTACGAATATACCCCCAAATGAATTGAACTACAACAAATCTGCCGGTGAATCACGTATGTTGGTGTAATTAAAACCATGGGCGAGTCCCTCTTCTTGTCCCTTTGAATCCACAAGTACCGGCGGAGGACCAAGAAATTACCCGACCCCGTCCACTTGATTCATGGCCATGAATTTATTAAAGTACCACCAACTTAATAATTCCCCACCAAATTTTTGTACTATCATTTATTATATACCCACACGTTCTCACCGAGTGCAGAGAATAAAAGTATGTTTCAGTCCGTATTGTCCAGAAGCACATCTTTCACGTGGTTTTGAAGAACTTTCATACATTTTCCAACATTTTTCATATCTTGAATCCATTAAAAGAAGTCAATTTTTCATCTCTGACACCTTGAACGAGGTTAGTTTTTTATTGGTTCATAATATTGTTTTCGATTCGTCTAGAATATGATGTATTTAGTTGGAGTAAATGAAATTTCTGAATTTTTCAGTATTTTTGTGGGTAAAAGAAGTTACGTAAGTCAATGATTCATGGCCGTGTTTATTCGTTTAATGGTCRTGGTCAATGGTTTTATGATTAACGGYCGWGGTTTTAGGTCGATTGCATATACATAACCTTGATCAGCTSACGACCATGGTCCATTTTGTCGATTCGTGACCGGGGTGTTTATGACCAYGGGCGTGGTTGTGTGATTAATGGYCGTGGTWACATGTTACCTCGGCCGTGGTTCTTAATTGTTTGATTCATGGCCATGGTTGCAAATTTCCTCGGCCGTGGTTGTGTGATTAATGGCCTTGGTAGCATGTTCTTTCGCCGTGGTCCTTTATTATTTGATTCACGGTCGTGGTTGCAAATTCCCTCGGCCGTGGTGCTTATCGTCTGTTTCATGGCCGTTGTGACATGTTCCCGGGGTCGTGGTCCTCTAATGTTCGATTATGTGCCCCCACTCGTGTTTGTGCTTTATATTATGGTCGTGTCTGAAACTAACACGATCGTGGTAACTTTGATTACTTATTACTTGTGTGTTATTATTATTCTCCATGTAGGATGCATCGACTATTTGTGATATATGGTGGCAAGTGGAACGAGGCTGGTACGGTGTACGAAGGTGGCGTCATGGGTGAGCTAGATGTTGATGAAACAATAACATATGCCAACCTAGTAAGTGYCTTGCACATGMTTACTAGAATTGATCCTGACCAATTTGATCTTATTGTACAGTGCGTATATAGATTTTATTTTCGGTATGAAGTCTCGAACTATCTAATATTTGATGACAGCAGTTTGAGATTCTATTTGAATGGCCCTCCTGATCCGTCACAAGTACCCTTGTACGTAACCGTCGTACCTAAAACATCATATGGTAGTAGGAGCAGGAGAGGAAATAATTTTTTCGAAACCCAAACATCGTCTTCATTCCMATACTACCAAAAGCAGAATGATCCATGTTTTGGCCGTTCTATTTCTATTGACTCTCCTCTGGATGATGTCGGTCTTCCCTCATTTGTCCCACAGATTACACCATTAGCCGATAACGTTATCCCATGTAACCTAGACGACGACGAATCTCCATATTATGGTCAACTGTACGAGAACGAGGTTGAGTACGAATTTCAGAGTGATGATGAGTATGATTATGACGAATATCGTACCGAAGATGGGGTTGAGGACGATGGTGGGAATGGATATGACAATGGGGAGGAGGATGAATATCATACTGAGGATGTGCTTGACGAACATTATGAGAATGAAGGTCAACATGTTCATGAGTCGCATACAGTGAGTGGGAATGCACCTTATCAAACAGTTGAAGAAGTTGTTTCACGTCCGATGCARAATATCATAACTGGCAATGGGTCCGACTTCATAGGTGAAATTGATGTTAAGGGTATTTTCCGTTCGAAGGAAGAACTACGCTTCAATCTGTCTGTGCTAGCTATGAAGTTGAATTTCGAATTTAAAGTTAAAAAATCGACGAAGACATTGTTCACTGTTGGATGTACCGAGCAAGGTTGCAAATGGGGTTTGCGTGCAAAGAGTATCCAAGGTGGTGACTCATTCATCATTTCGAAGTTTAATGATGTTCACAAGTGCAAACGTGAAGTACTGAACCATGACCACAGGCAAGCTCGGAGTTGGGTGGTTGGTCAGTTAGTGAAGTCCAATCTGGAGGATGTCAGCCGCCAGTACATACCTAAAGACATTATTAACGACATGAGAAAGAACTATGGGGTGAACATTAGATATGAAAAGGCATGGCGGACGAAAAATGTTGCCTTGAATCTGCTAATGGGGTCACCTAAGCATTCATATAATTTGTTACGCAAATATGGTGAAGCATTGAAGGCTGTTAATGCAGACACTGTTTTTGGAGTGGAACTGGAGGAAGATAAATATTTTAAGTACGCGTTCATGGCCCTAGGTTGCTGTATTAGAGGGTTCTCCAGTTGTATCCGCCCAGTGTTGGTCATAGATGGTGCACATCTCAAGGGTAAATATAGAGATGTTATTCTTATTGCTTCTTCTGTTGATGGCAACAATCAAATATATCCTTTTGCCTTTGGACTTGTCGATCAAGAGAGTGATCAATCATGGACTTGGTTTCTGACATGGTCAAGACGTGTATTGGAGAAGTCGATGGGTTATTATTCGTATCTGATCGACATGTGTACATTACAAAATCTGTTAGGTAGGTCTTTCCACAAGCTCATGGAATATGCATGCAACACTTGTCTACGAACCTGAAGGACAAGTTCAAGGATGATGCCATGCAAGAAATGTTCATATTAGCGGCAAAGGCTTGCCGGAAATCAGAGTTCAGATACTATTTCTCCCAACTAGCAGGATTTCCAGAGATCCAGCGATACTTAGAAGGAATTGGTTTTGAAAAATGGACTCGTGCATTTCAACTGGGTTTGAGGTATGACCAAATGACATCTAATATTGAGGAGTCTATGAATGCAGTCCTTGTCCATGCACGTTCTCTGCCAGTCACTGCACTTCTGGAACATGCTCGTGCACTYTTACAACGCTGGTTTTACGAGAGGCGAACATACGCATCCAGTCGCGAAACCATTCTCACTGACTACGGTGAGAATAAGATGCGTATTGTAGAGAACCTCTCTCGTACTCACTCCATCACACCCATTGACCATCACGAGTTGGAGGTTAGCGATGGACTAAAAAGGGTGCGTGAGAATTTAAATGCAAGGACCTGTGGATGTAAAGAGTTTGACTACTTTCAGCTTCCTTGCTCCCACGCTATTGCAGCGGCCACCTATCGGAACGTGA